TCTTTCTTAATTGACTGAGCTCTATTTCTGTCCCTCATCCATTTCAACATGTGGTGGGTCCAGGTGGTGGCTTCTACCCATGATTTTGTTTAAAAAAAAAAAAAAGACAGTCAAAATTACTTTCCCTGACACCTCCTTAAACTGATCTCCACCTGCAGCCCCATGATCATTACCAGCAGCATCTAGACACTTTTTTTGGTAGTTAGATGCTTTCCATCTCTCATTAGGAAATGTGACTCTCTCCACGCTGCATAAAGATTTCCCAGTAGAAATGAACACAGAGATACTGCCTGTGTGTTCGCAAAGGAAATGGTTTCTAGAAGAACATATGAAAGCTGCAATTATAGAAAAGACCACACAAAACATATATTATGTAGATGACTCTCACAATTTCTTTAAGAGATACATTGTAAAACATCACCTTAATAATTATTCTAGAAGAATAAAGCGTGCATACTGTTTTCTTAAATAAATTTTAATAAAATGGTTGCTTCCATGTGCCCAGGATGGGCCTCTGAACAAAATTCTCCATTTTCAGAGGCAATGCCTGACAGGATGACATGGACTTAGGCCTGATATGCAGCCATTCCTGTCTACCATGACCCTGCTGCAGAACAGTATCAGCCCAGGGCCCAAATCTCCTGCTGAAGAGCTGAGTGAGAAAATTGAATATCTAAAGCTTCTTACCTTTTTCCACTCCACTGCAATGGGTACCAGTGCAGTCCATTTGCCCCTGAGGACATCCACCTGCTGGTCTTTGGCTTCTAAGAGTCAGACCTCACTGGCTTCTCTGAGTCTCAGCTGTTTTCATTCTACTGAGTGATGTACACCGCTAACCTGACAACATTGTGCCCCAAAGCAATGTTTTCTGTGTCCCTCATTATGGAGCTCACTGTCCCTCACCACATGGGTAAGTGCTTCCAGGGTCTCTCAATTCCTCAACACACATTTTAACACAGTTCCTCAGCAAAGGAAGTGATGATAATTTACCTACTTTGATAAAATTCCTGAAAAGATCCCTAGACTGCAAAATTTCAGTCAAAAGAAGACAGAAAATG